AAAAACCTCCCATCAAACACATCCAGGATGAAGAACCTCAGAAATGGACAAGTCAACCAGAAAAAGAATGTACCTCATTTTTGTGCCATCATTTTTTTATTAAAATTACTTTTCCATGTTGTATACAAACTGAATTTTTTACTTAAATCAAGTTCACTTTTAGAATGATTGTAGGGTTGGAAAGGCACAGTGTATGTGAATTACTACAAATCAAAAAAATCAGAAAGATGTAATAGTTTTTACCACAAATGTTTTAAGTCAAGCAAAATTCAGAATTATTTCATTATCAGAATTATCTCATTCGAAGTTTTTTTTTTTTTTTAAACTATTCACTTTTAAACTAGATTAAGACATTAATCATAACATTCTGGAATGATGAGGATTTATGTTTAATAACCACACAACATATTTGCTTAACCAAACTTAAAATTTAGTCTGTTTTGGTTGGCTTTGTTACACTTCAACCTGAAGAAAGTGATCTTAATGTATGATGAGATAAAGGCAGTCTTCCACACCAAACTTAGTAAAGATGAGCTGACACTACCGATACAACCAAAATGAGATTTGTGGGTGTTTTCCATCTATAATAATAATGTACACATAGAAAATGGGATAGTTATTCTTGCTACCTGGATATTCACAACTTCAAATAATTTATCAGCTTCTGTAAAAGTAGGCTTAGGGAAGAAAATTATTTATACTGAAATTATTTTATTCTAATCTTCCATTTAAAAATACATTTTACTAAAAATTATTAAATAATATATTCAATTTCTGTGACACAAATGGGAAAATAATCTGTTCAAGGCAAGTACATTTTAATTTTTGATTTTAAATCTCCATTTATATCATAAGAACTGAAATGCAAGTACAGCTTAAGGCATCAGAATGACTAATTATAGATGATAATAATACAGTCTAACCCTACAAAGCAACTGTGGGCGTTTTAATTGGAAATAAGCATTCTGAGATAATGCTAATAGCAGTGTAGAAAAATGAAGTTTAAAAACAAATTCAGTGTTGAGGATCTTCCTGTCCTTTGGAGATTTTATTTTAATCATCTCCTCCACAGAGAATGAGTAGTACCTTCCTGTAGTCTCCGGATGTGTCACCCTTGATGAAAGAGTACAGCGACTTTCCGTAAAGCCTCTTGAAGTTTTCCCGGATATCCAGCATGTCAATCTCCGCTCGCGAGACCATCACTCTGATGAGGGTGCTGTCGTCGGTGCCCAAGCCCTTCATGGATTTATAAAGCCTTTCAGCAAAATATGCAGATCTGTTCCTCGTGCACTTTACTATAGCCAGCAGAGCATCTTCAAAGCTACCAGATGTTTCAGATTTGATACTCTGTTCAATATCCTTCTTTGATATCCTTTTGTATTCATCAAACACATGCAACAGGTGATTTCGATTCCGGGAGCAGAGGATAGTTAGGAATTTCACCTCGTCTGTCCCCCACCTCTTCTCTCCAGCGTCATACAGGTCCTGGGCATCCTGTTTCACGAGACCGTCGTCCAGGTAATTCCCTTGATCCCTGCCACCAGCTGACAGAGACACTAGCACTCTCTGGAACATGAAGGAAGTGTCAGAGCAAATGTCATCTTCAAGGCTCCGTCCATATTGATGCTGGTAGGTCTGCTTGATGCGCTGAAGCTCCTCGGGGGAGCGGGAGGCCAGGATCTCGATCAGGCAGCCTTCATCTGTGCCAGCTCCCTTCATGGCCCTTCGCAGCTCTTGCACATCGTACAGCACGATCGGCGTCATCATCCCAATGATCACCTGCTCGAAGTTGCCACTCAGTTCAGACTTCAAGTCCTCTATCAGCTCCCTGCCGATAGTGGTTTTGTAGGCCGTCCTGATTTCCTGGCGCTGAGCCGTGTTGCGGTAGGCCAGGACCTTAATGATGGCGTCTTCATCGGTGCCGAGTCCTTTCATGGCCTTGCGCAGGGTCTGGGCATCCTCAGTGGCATTGAATCCTGAAGCAGCTTTGACGGTGCCTCCTTTGGTCGCCATGGCCATGTTTCTGTGTCAAGATCCAAAGTTCAATCACCCAGCAGAAGTTCCTGCGGCGCTGGGACGAGACCCGGCTGAGCTCTTCCTCGGCGGCTGCGGAGGTCGCACCTACCTTGGTCGGGTCGGGCCGCGCGTCTTATCCCAGGCGGATCCCTACAACTGTTGATAATTCAGAAATATATACATGTACTGGAAATATATTGATTAGAGACATACCAATTGGGAGAAAGGAGAAACTAACAAAAAAAAGACAAATAACATAGGGTCAGGGAGACATAAAAGGATGTATCTATCTGTTCAAAAATGGCAGAAGGGCCAGCCAGATAGTTCAGTGGACTAAAGTGCCTGCTTAGGCACAGTGCAGTGGCCAGGGTTCAATTCCCGGTGTGCTACACCAGCCCTGCCCCCAGGGTGCACCAAGATGGTGAGTGAGACTGGGTGTGGTGGTGTGCACCTATAATCCCAGAGCTTGGGAGGCTGAAAATAGGAGAATCACTACGAGTCCGATCTACATAGTAAGACCATGTAGACCCTGCAGACCCTGTCCTAAATACATTAAAAAGAAAAAAAAAAAAAAAAAAAAAAAACAGTGGAGGAAAAGTATGAAAACTGGATACGATATTGTTTTTTGTGGACCTATGAACAGACTTCATCATTTGTACCTCTCTCCTACCTTTAAGGGAAAACTTCCCAAATAGTATACTAAAAAACTTCTTTCTCATTGACTAGTTGGGTTGTCATTTTTAAAACTTCCTGTACAAGCCAGACATGGTGGCTCATGCCTGTAATCTCTAGCACTCAGGAGGCTGATGCAGGAGGATCACCAAAGCTTTAGGCCAGCTTAGACTACATAGTGAATTCAAGGTCTGCCTGAATTCCATAACAAGATCCTGCATCAATAAAACAAATTTTATTTTAAAAACTTCCCCAACCAACCTCTATTCACTCACCTGAAAAGAGATCCCGGTTCATTTCTCCTTCCCCCAGCCAGGGCTCTTGGCCTTGTTCCAATAAGAACAGGACATTTGGCTTAGAAATGGAAAGACCCACTAGGAAGAGTGTATGCAATGTGTTAATTATTGAAACTGTCCTACGAATTTGGTTTGAAACTGTCTCATTGCTATTTGTCAATAAAATTATGAAGAAAAAAAAAAAAAAAAGAAATGGAAAGACCTGCTTACAGAAAATGAAATAGATGTAAAAATAAATCTTTAAACTATGGGGGGGGGGCATTAAAATAAAATGTCAGAAGTATGGAAGTAGGAATAGAAATGTGAAAGGATGAAGAATGTCTGAACATTACCTAAAGTTACAAGCCCCAATTTAAAATTCATTTTTAAAAACAGTACCTCCCTTGTGACTGTTCAAACATATAATCAAAATTTCCAACTATCCTAAAGATAAAATTATATCTTGAAGGAGATGAGGAGGACCACTTACCCAGTGAAACAAGATGGCCATAGTTTGCCAACATTACACATCTATAGAAATCTCTCAGAGCAGGCTGGAGCCATTTCCACTCCTCCTGGGAGAAGTCTATGGCCACATCTCCATAGGTCACTTATCCCTGCAATGACACAGATATGTGCAGAAACAGCACTTGTGCCCCCCAAGTCCCAGAGCAAGGAGTGAAATAAGTCTCACTGTGGAGTGTAAGTGGTGGCTATGAGAGTTTCTAGAACTCTAAGTAATATACAACTAACTGAGTATAGATATGAAACGAAAGCCTAATGTCCCCGGGAGCAGGGAGCAATTGACAGAGCCCAGGGAGAGCTGCTGGCTCTCACTTGTACATCCCAGAAAGCTGGGATTGAAGGCTGAAGATAACAGCTTCTCCTGCAGGCGCCCTGTTATCAGCTAGCATTTGTGTGAACCTATTATTAGGTAAATGGTGGAAGTCAGTAGAGATAGTAGTTTGGGTTCACTTAAGTAATTATGCACATTCCTTAGCCTGCCTTTAGCCCTCAATAAATGTGAGGTGCTTCTGAGGCTCTGGGCTCACTTGGAGAGAGGCGAATCTCAGTGAGAGCACTGAAGCTGTATTCATCGGGTCTTCTTGTCATTTCTTTCGGCACCAACTCATACCATACAATAACTAACTTTTTTGTTTCATTAAAACAGAGGGAGAGGGGGCCGGGGAGATGGCTCAGTGGAATAAGCGCTTCCCCGGCAGGCGCAAGGGCCTGAGTTCAATCCCCGGTTCTGCCAAGGGGGGGGGGGGGTCTCTATGCCTCACACCTCCTTACTAGGTTTTCTGTATACGAAGGCAGAGCGAGGTGTTTTTGTAAAGGTAGGAGTTCTCAAACAGCATATTCTTGCAGGGGGTGGGGGGGGGGGGTTGCTTTGTGTCTGTATTTTCCATAAAACCTTTTTTTCTGTTTGGTGTGGGTGTCAGGTCTACTGATGGTGTACAGGTATCTCAGCTTTGAGTTTTGGGTCCTCTCTGCTGTGTGGTTTTGAGCTCTGCGGAGCTCTGGGCTTGGTGCTTTCTGCCATATCACAGGCCAGGGACAGTGTTGCCCATGCCCCTTGGGACTTGACCAAAAACTCGATGATGGTTCATCGTTGTCAACATCATCTCCCTTTCTTTCCGTGAGCCATCTGCCCAGGTCTGTTTTAGCGGGCCTATTTGGTATACCTATAGGTGTGTGCATGTGAGTCCTCTTACGTTATTCAGGGATATTCTTGTTAAAATGTGGTCTTCGTTTTCTGGTTAAAACCAGAGGCAAAGAGCTTGGCTCATGTTGGCAGGAATGGTTTCCCTCTTTACATCATTGAGGCTTTGCTCTTGGCATGGCTGCAGGATGATGCTGGTCACATAAGCGTGGTAAGGTGTCCTCGCCCTTGTGCTGGCCTTTGCGAGGGCGCAGCGGTGTCGAGGTGGTTCCTGGCCTACTGGCTCAGCAGCGCGTCTGTCCCAAGACAGAGGTGGTTCGTTCAGGTGCCCAGATGGGAGCCCACTGCTTGGTCTGGAGCGGCGCCTCGGCACCAGCGGCGCTCGCGCTCAGGTGGCGCTGCTGTTTTCTGCACCATTGTCCTCGCCTTCTTTTGTAATTGCTTCCTAGTCACAGGAAAGACATTGTTAACACACTATTTAGTACCAAGTGAACAGAGGACTCTTGAAGTTTTGAAATGTTCAGGGGTGTGTGAAGTCCATGTCGTTTTTTGGAACAGCTACGTGTTTCTAGAAAATCTTGGCCTAAGGTTATATGTGTGGTAAATTGCTATGTTTAAGAAAATTACTCCGCTTCTGCTGCATCTGTCCTGACACTTTCGTTTTATGTACCCAGAGGGATTTGTGATCGCCAATGATGTGGACAACAAGCGCTGCTATCTGCTCGTTCATCAAGCCAAGAGGTTGAGCAGCCCCTGCATCATGGTTGTGAACCA